TGTTCTGAATTACTCTAAAATGGATTGGTTAAGTGTTCACCCGAAAATTTGCTAATAATACTCATAATATGCTAAATTAATGTATAGCCTTCTCCTTTAGGAGAGAGGTCTGGTAGTGTGGTACGGCTAACCCTATACATACTTGTGATTTTACTTTATTACCATTACTATTCTTGTTGCTGTTATTGATTATTGTTGTGACAGTTATGGGTTTTTTTGTTTGGATGGATTTATTACCGTTTTTTCTTTTTTTGGCTGACCGAATTGATTTATTAGGTTCGAACTCTGAAGCAATGGAAAGAAGAAAAGTACTCCTAAAAGAAAAGTACGTAACAAATACGTTGGTGAGGGAGGGAACGGGCCAACTGGAAGTGGTGGGAATCCATTTTTGAACCAGTCCGTGGCTGGCGCCGGCGGTTGATGATGCTGACGACCTGTCGTTTTCTGATCTTCTTGATACACCAATTCAAGGCGTCTTTCGTGTCAGTCGCATTAACATGCAAGTATATATAATTATTTTGAAACTTCATTCACATATGCATGATTCGGCGTTGAACTCAAAGTCTCCCTCTTAGCAAAGCGCGCAGAGTCAAAAGCATGATCGCAGTTTGGCCAAACGTCACCTAAAGCACCAAATCTTAAATATTATTTTTTTAAATTATCGGTTATGTTAGGAACTTTATTATACGCCAAAAAAAAAATCAGGATGTCGTAAAATTTAACCTCTTATACTATATATGGATATTAATTATGCCTCGCAGATCTGTTGAAGTTTCCCAACTACTTGTTCAGGGCAGTCTACTAATACGCCAACCCTCTAATAAGTTGGCCATGAAAATTTAATTCTTGTGAAATATTTGACCAAACAAATCTAATGCGCGTTGAAGTCTGCTCGTATTAGGATATTTTAGAGAAAGATTAATAAAATTAAATCATCATACAATGCCAGTAAAAAGATATGACATTATGTGAGGTCAGCAATATGAACAGGCCAATGGGTTGCAGAAGCATTCACCTTTACATTGCTTATAAAAAGACTATACGAGTTTTTAATCATAAAAATTAAAAATTAAACTCCTGAAAACTTGTTTAAAGGAGAATACTATCTGCCCCTTATGTCTTATGCTGGTATAAGAGGGTACAAAATTTGTCATAGATTGGATTGCCAGTGCTGTATACTGTGGTTAAGATGATGTGCTCTCTAGATTGGGTTGTCAAGCCCCTATCCAAACTGGCTCATGTCCTGTAACTAGCTGATGTATCAGATGAATGCTATATGTAGGAATGAAGTTATGGAACTGAACTCAGTTCTTTATTCACAGCAAATGCACACAGATGACACAGATTTTTGAGCAGGAGAGAATGTAGAAGACTGTCACTTGAAAAGATTCACCGAATGAGCAAAAAAATATATTTCACTGTGTTGAACCTAAACTACCCTCATATATGCGTTGGCTTCGGATGTAAGAAGTTATTCGGTATAACCGTTCCTTTTAATCCAACAAATTGAACAATGGGGTTATTTATACATAAAGGCTCAAGGAATATTGTGCTTAAGACCCAAACTATTTTATATTCACGGTAAAGCCCCATGGGCTTATATATTTGGCTAATTTATCAAGGGTGAATAACCCAACATCCCCCACTCACATTTAGTGAATAAGATATCATAGGTCTTATCTCTTTCTCTTTTTTCTTTCATACGAGATGCTTTATCATGATTGCATAGGCTTGACATTTTTATTTTAGGTGTTTGTACCAGGAATCATATTAAGGACTACCACAAATAACCCTATAGTTGAATTTATTTTTAATTGAATTTGTGCCTTAATGTCCTATATTTACTAATATATACTTTTCTCATTATCACTAATCTGATCCCTCTTAAGTCAATCTAAAATTCAAATAGTCTCTCTTATATGCATAGTATCCATATTTATGAATTAATAAATTATTTCATAAAGGACATGTCTTGAATTTGAGCATGGACATGTATATCTAAGGTAATTTCCTTTCACCTATATACTAATTTGATAGGAGACAGTCGCTTTCCTAACATGATACATTTATATCCCATCAATCATGACCATGGAATGTATGTTAAAGTAGTAAACACTGTGACACATCTTCATGATAATGTCAAAGTCAAAGGAAATTATTGAAAGAATTTTTCCTTTTTGGGACTCCCATAATAATGAAGTAGGGATTTATTCACTTGCTTCCCATTATGATTCTTAAACACATGTGATATGAAACACATCTTATGGTGTTACTCTTGCTTGTAAGAGCATACGTCGTTTTCAGTTATTATTAATACTATTCAAACTTAAATTCAGATACTCAATGTATCTAAACCTAAATTCTTCTATTCTATTGATCTCACATGATGTTAATTTAAAAGAATTTGTTGTTTGGTTACAAGCGTCATAGATATAAAGATCTATGACTCGATCCAAGTATACTTATAGATCTCATCTCGACTTGCGCTTTAATTAAGGCAACATATGATTTGTGTTTCTTCTCTACCATGTCAACATTTATGTTGCCTTACTGGTGAACACAAATGTCTTTTCTTTAATTTGAATGTCAAAGGTAGGTGCTCGTATGAAAGAGTCAACCCTACTAACATGTACGACATACTAAACATTGTATATTCACGAGCGTACACATATGGAAGTAATGAAAAAAATCTCATTAATATAATCAAAATATTATATTAAGTCTGTCTTTTTACAGTCTAGACATGTCAAGAGCCCTTAAATGTTTCTCAAATATCTCCTTGGTTATGGGTTTTGTTAGTGGATATGCTATCGTACATTTCATGAAAATGTATTAAACAATGATAACCTTTTACGCTATATAATCATTTACAAAGTTGTACTTGATGCCTATATGTTTGGTTTTGTTGTGTTACTTAGGATCTTTGGTGCAGGCTATGGTTGCAGTATTGTCATAATGAATTAACACTGGATTGTACTTTTATTTCCAAATTCAAGATGTTTTAAAAATCTCTTCAATCATATAATCTCTTGCACTACTGTAATACATGTTACAAATTCAGCTTCCATAGAGTGTAGGGCAATGCATGTCTACTTCTTGCTGCTCCAACAAATGGCCTCATTGTTTAGCAAGAAAGTGTAGCCTGAAGTCGATCTTTGTTCACCTTTATCTTCGCCTAAATCTGTGTTAGAGTATCTTGTCTAGCGTAGATTATTCCCTTAGTAACACAATGCATAGTCAATAGTACCCTTTAAGTATATTAAGATCCTCTTTACAGCCTTCCAACATCCTTCACCGAGGTTGAATTGGTAGCGACTCACAAGTCCTGTGGCATAGCAAATGTCTGGTCTTGTACACATCATTACTTACATCAGACTTCTAATTGTACTAGCATATAAAACTTTTTCCATCTTCTATTTGGATATCTCAATTTTAGGACTCATATCAAGACTAAGCTTCACCACCTAAAGCTGCTAAGGTATCTATGGGTTTTCTATACCTAACCCGTGGACCCATAACCATCACAATAATTTTTTTTAATGATTTAGGCTGGAAACACAATTCAAAAAAATATTTTTTTAATGGTTTGGGCTCACAGCCTAAAACCAAAACTCAAAAAAAAAAATTTAAGTAGAACAACACATCAAAATGATGTCATTTTGACAAAGACGTCTTCAACAACCTCCCATTGGGTTAGTTTGACCTGGTTTCTTCGATGGACCTGAATCTTTCAGAGGCTATATCTCCTTTGTTCAATTTTTATTTTGCACATTCTTGTGTCATTTTCTCTATTTTTTTGAGCTCTACACGTTTATGCAATCCTTTTGTCCAAAAAAACTCAGTTTTCAAACACTCATTATTTTGGTTTGTTTACATTGTAACTTTCGGCACTATAGATTGCATGCAGAATGTGTATAGTCTTATATAAAACATTTATATCAACCAAGAAGCATATAAACATGTTAGTTTGGTGAGAACAATGATAAAAACAAATAGAGGTAGATTATATAAAAAAGAACTGAGAATGGAGCTGGTAGATTTACACAAATGGAGTAAGCAAATCAATGTTTAATTATCATACACGGAAAATGCAGTCCAAGAAAAACTATCACTATGATACCAATATAAGAATTTGGAGGAGAAAACTAACCTTATGTGATATACCAAATGAATGTTATATGTGGAAATGAAGTTACTGGATCGAACTCGGTTCTTGATTCACAGCAAATGCACACAGATGAGAGAGAGATTTTTGAGCAAGAGAGAATATAGAAGACCGTTACTTGAAAAGATTCATTGAACAAGTAAAAAAATACATTCCATTACGTTGAACCTAAACTGCCCCCATATATTCACTGGCTTTAGATGTGGGAAGTTATTCAGTATAATCATTCCCTCCAATCCAACAAATTGAACAATATGGTTGTTTACGTGCAAAGGCCCATGGAATATTATGCTTAAGAACCCAAACTCCTTCATATTCACAGTAAAGTCTCGTGGACTTATATAATAGGCCAATCTATCAAGGGTGGATAACCCAATATATCCTATGTTAATTTATTATTTACCATTGGTCCTTGTTCTTTTTCTTCTAGTTTGAATAAGAGGATATCCTTGGCTAAAAAAAGGGGATGAAATTGTAATTTAGCCATTAAATTATAAGTCCTAGAATATTTGGAATTCTAAACTTGTCTTTAGTGCATTTTTACCCCCTCAACATTTAAAATATAGCAATTTACATTGTGGTTGACCTTAACCACTAGTTGAGGGAAAAAAATAATAGAACATGACCTAAAAATAATAAAAAATGATTAAGAAATTTTTTTGCTCATTTTTTATTCAAATTAAAGTTAACTTTTGTTAATAGTAGAGATAATATATCATTTTTAAAAGTTGAAAGGAAAAATTATATCAAAAATGAGTTTTAATTTCTAGGCACCTCTGGACTTATAACTTAAAGGCCAGATTGCTTTTAAACAAAAAAAAAAGTTGGTACAAAATTTTACAAAATATTTATTATTAAGTTAAGGATGAATGTATAAATTTAATCATGAACTATTTTTTAAGGAACATTGGGGAGCCTATACTATCAAGTGATACAAAATAAATCATCAATTAATTAAAACAGCATCTAGCGCCTATCGTTAAGCTTGAGCAAATGACCTTGATTTCTTCATATCTCTAGATCTTCTATCTCTACTCCTTTCATCAATCTCTTCCTCTTCACACCCAGGCATTGCTTCCAGGAAAGTAATACGCTGGAGATCATCATCGGCGTCAAAGGAGTTCCTTCTCTTTCTAACGACTATCCTCCCTGTTGATTACCTGTCCCCTATGCTTGTGAAAGCTCGTTGCGTGCATTTGAATTTTGCCACTACCGTTGATGACCCCAATTGCTTTACCAACACCTGGAAGAAGGACGCAAGTCCTTGTACCTACAACGGTGTCAAATGCGATCAGTTTCTAAATCCAAATAATTATATTTCAACCAAGCTGGTTTCTCTGATCTTCAAGGTTAAGCTTGCGTCTTTCATGAATGTTGGGCTCCATTCTAGAATTAACATTCTTCCATGTCAACTCCGATAATTTCTTAGAGAAGTCCCCATAAAAATCATGGAATACAAATATTTCTTCAAGATTGACTTGAGCAACAACAAGCTTCAGGATTACTTCCCAATGGAAGTTTTTTTTTTCTAATAATAAGCTACTTTTTTTTAAATCTTAGGTTCAATACTCTTATTGGACTCGTCCCTCCAAAGCTCTTCACCATGGATCTTGATGTCATCTTCATCAGCAACAACCAATTCAACATAAACCTTCCATGGAATTTCACACCCACACACACGTGAGATACCTCACATTCACTGACAACAAGTTTGTTAGACCGATCCCAAGAAGCATCAAAAGTGCATTAAACACCTTGATGGAAGTTTTTTGTGAGCGCTTACCTTACGAGAGTGGGTTCTTGAAAAAGGCCTCCACGGATTGACGGGTCCAATTCCAAAATCTTTTACTTGGTTGGATAATATTTGGTTCTTGAACTTAGCTCACAACAAATTCTATGGCATTGTTTCGGAATTAGTGTGCAAGCCTCCTAGAATCTGCAATAATAGGAATATGTCGGAGCGATGGCTAGAGAGAGGAAGAAATCAATGTCATTTGCTCAAACTTAATGATAGGTGCTAGATACTCTGTTTTAATTAGCTAGTGAATTATTTTGCACCACTTGATAGTATAGGTTACCCAACACTCTTAAAAAATAATTCATGATTAAATTTACACCTCTACCTTTAAGTTAATACATAAAGGTAAATATAGAAATTTTAAAAATATAAAATCATACATGACAATAAAATTATTGTGCAATATACAGTGGTTAGTAAAAATTATAAATTTCATCACAACATGCCAAGTGTTTAACTTATAAAATAAAAAAGCATTTAACTTTCGACTAAAGTTTTAGTTAATAAATTGTTGAACCAAAATGAAAAAAATATCTTTTTTTTGGGCGGGGCGTTTTGCAGCTAGAACGTGATGAGTTAGATGTTGGGTAGGTAAGTAGAAGGGGACATGACATCGGCATTTTTGAAAGAAGAATGAAGATCGCGTTAGATGACAAAAACATTGCGATTGTAAATTGGAGGTACAAAATATTATAATTTGAGGAAATTCTTAAATAAATCAGGTGTATTATATTATTTGTAGTTAATCAAATAAAAATACGACATTCAAATAATATTAAATATAAATTAATTTTGACATTAATGATAGTAAAAAGAAAAAAATAAAAAATTAAATATGCACTCTATTATAGAAATAAAATAAATTAAAATAACGTCACATAAAATTTTATTTAAATAATTTAGATCATTCTAATCAAATAAATTATAAATAATGTGGTGCATCTTGATTTAGGAATTTCTTTCTCAATTCATATTTCCCTGAATCACCTCATCATTTGGTGACAGCCCCACCCATACACATTCGTAATTTCTTTTATATTACTCATTACAATCTTAATTATAAAATAAAGTTTTAAAGTCTTATTTGATTGCATAGTAATGAATTGTTTTTCATCAAGTTGTTATTATTAAACATATATTGTAATGAAAGGCAAAATCGAGGACATTTTTTACAAGTATAAGAAAATTAATGAGTTTCATTTAACAATAAATATGGAACTAGCTATCTGTACCTCATAATTAAGGTTAAAGAGAAGAGAGTACCTCTTTCTTCTTCTTCTTGTTGGTCACCAACAAACAACCAAACTGCTCCAACACATCCATTTTCCTTCACCCAACACCACTTTCCCTTATTCCTGCTTCTTATTTCCTGCGTTTTTTTCTTTCTCAAATTGGTCTGCATTAGTATATCTGGAATTCCACATAAGCCAACAAAACACTAATTTAAAGAGTTTTGTGGCTTGTCGGTGAAAGTGCTTTGTTTTCGCAAGTCAAGCCACGAGTTCGAATCCGGCGTTCTCATACACTCACAACAACAAAAATTACGTACTTCAAAAGAAACTTTGGCCTCACATTAATTCAATTATTAATATTTTATAAAAATTTTTATATTTTCCAATCGTATTCTTAAATAAAATTAATATAATATTTAATTTATTCAAAAAATTCTTATTAATTATTTGAATGAAATCTAGCAAATTAAGGTTATGATAAAAAAAATTTAAAATATATCCAATACTTTATATTTTAAATCAAGTGAGGGTTTTAGAAAATTCTTTTTGCTGCGTTCCTGGTTTGAATATGCACACATATACGAGAGAAAGAGATTTAAGACCATGGATGACTTTTCTGCAGCGCCTCAGTTTTCAAACCTTACGTAATTGATGCTATAAAAAATATCAATTTATATCAATTTATACACATATGCTGGGAGCAAGAGATGCGGCAGCAGAAAACGTTTACAAGATAGAATAAATACTCAAGCAGGAAGGATCACTTCATTCAACCAATTTTTTTTTTTATTTGACTCTGGAAACATTTTTTTTCTGTTCTATATATATATATATATAGGCTAGTTTCCTAGAAGTATATGAATATAAAAATTAACACCGCTATTATCAATACTAAACATTGTGTCCCTTAAACTTAATTAACTCCTAGCTAGCTTCCCCGCTCGCTTATGACCGTTTTAAAGCCAGTTTTGTTTTTCACATGTTAATGTCAATCAAAGAATCTTTCTCATAGATATTAGACACATAAAAATCAAATATTAATACTTACCCCAATCGATTAACTCCGTCCTTCACCCTTGCCATCACCACCATCAAGTGTATCCTTCAAAAAATTAATGTCCCAAAAGAGCATGAATATGAGTTTCTTAAAACAAATAATCTTTTCAATAAAGAGCAACGCTAGATTTTCCCTGGTGAATGACACATGCATATCTGCTGTTGCATTAACTGAGAGAATACAATGATTCAATTTGAAAATGGTGACAGGCAGAAGTTGACACGCCTGCTTGTATTATTGATATGAAGGAATATATTGTACGGTAAATTCATGTTGGAAAGTTTTACTTTAGAAATATTTAATACAAATTATAATTATTTTTGGAAGGGGGTGAGCGTCAGAGGCAGAACAGTATGAGCACGCATTGCTCAAAGCAGACCTCAGACCAAAAGGCTTCATCACAATAATAGCTCTCCAAATTATATATATATATATATATTGCAGCTACTTTTTCCTTCAAGAGTCAGCACCAATCTATCTTATCTTCTCTTTTTAAAGACTTTAATTCAAGCTTCGACGTCACGGACACAATAATAGCACTTCACTAACTCATTTTGCTCTGCTATATTTGAATGAATGTAATCATCTTTCTGCTGGTGTTTTTCTTGGCTGGCTTCCCACTTCTCCCTTCAATTAAATAAATCAGTCCACACTCAAATCTGCAGCATCTGAAATGAAATTTTGGACGTCTCGGAGATTGGGTTGGATTCATGGAGCCTCACTTGGATTGGATCTCATTAACATGTCAGACAATGAGTTAAGCATGCAACAGGGTCTTTCAATAGTCTTGCTACTTCACAAAGTGTGTACAAGGTAAAGATAGAGAAACATGTAGGCATGCTAGAAGTGAGTCTGTTAATTAGGAAAAAAGCGCGCTTGATATATTAACACGCCACTTTATTATTTGTTTGATCTATCTTTTTCTCCAAATTTCAGTGGGTTGGGTACACCTCAAATTTCCCCCCTCTATAATGCAATGCTCAAGCTCTTCTAACTGCAGGCTCAACATTTTTTTTTTTTTAAACGAAATGGAGCAGGGGGTGTTTACGCCTACCCTTTTCATTAACGCAGAATAAATTCAATTTCAGTAAAACTATGTTTTCTGCATCATAAAATGAGCAGAAAAAGAATAAGGCACTGACTTGCTGTTACAACAACAAAATAAACAGGAAAAAAATTGATTTACACTAATTAAAGTGCCCTCAAGATTGAAAGAACCTTGGAATACGAGATAATCTTAGATCAAGCCAGAGCCTTTTCCCCTTAAACAATAGAGTCCTTGCTCAATTTCTTAGCCTCAAGACTTTCCTTGTCTTCATGCGTCAAAAGTGGTGAGCTATCCTTATCCTTAACCTGTGAAGAATCAAGAATCAAGGGCCAGCAAATGAAACTAATCCCGAGCAGGAATAAGCAAAGAAAGATTCAAGACGACGAATTACTTACCTGAGAGGCCAAGGAGAGATCAACCTGCTGTTTCCTTTTGTTTTCCTGAGTGCAGAAATGAGAGTAAAAGCCCATTCCCAAAATGGCAATCATTATACCAATAATATTCCTCTCAGTGAAGGGGTCATGGAGCAATGTGTAGCCAAATGCAAGAACAAGGCAAGTCTTGAGGTGGCCAAGTACTTGATAAGTTACAGGAGATGTTTTGCCAATCACTAGAAAGGTGCTGAAGTTTACAGAAACAGCTATCAAGCATGACAGAACAATGAATGCCTACAAAGTCCAAATTTTGCCATAAATCAGTATCAATCATATGCATTATGCATGAAATATAACACATATGGAGGATCAACAATAGGTAGTACCAAGACTATGGGAGAATATTTATGGGAAAAGACGTTTTGCTTGGTGAGGAACTGATCCACTAGAGGGCCTGAAACAAAAAGAACTGCTGCTTGGAATGGAGCAGAATGGTAGAGAAGTTGTGTTGAGGAGACATTAAGCTTCTTCTGTATCGTATTTGTCAGCTGAATTATGTCCAAGGTTAAGAAAAAAGCAAGACAACAAACTCCTCTGCTGTAAGTAAACTGAACCTTAGCAATCAGGCTTTATAACAGCAAAAAAAAAAAAAAAAAACGAACTACAAAAGGAAGGAAAAGCCCTGTCAAAACTTACTACACTCTGATGCGTCAGTAGACTTCTCCACCCAAACATCGATTAATATGATAAATTTTCATTGAATCCTTGCACAAACACTTCAATCGTGTGTGTGTTTGTGTGTAGGAATTTGTTGTAACTTATAAGTGTTGTAAAGGATACAATTTGGCTGACACATGTGGTTATGATGGCTAAAAGGGAAAGAACGGTGCCCACAAAATTGAGCTGGAGATCTGTGACAGAGGCAATGCCAACTCCAACGAGTAAGAGGAATAGAGAAAACTTTATTTTCTGGCTGCAACAAGTAGTACAAAAGGATTTGTCACTGAACAACATGAAAATTGTTAACATTGAATATCAGATGCAAATTGAGGGGTAAATTTCGCTGGGTGTTAATTTACCTGAACTGCTTCTTGAGGAAAACAGTTTCTAGCAACACAGTAAAGGGTATGATTGCAAGTTTGGTCATCTACGAAAGCAACACTCCCAAATGGTAAAAATCAAAATTAAAGAACATATTTTTGTGAGTGACGAAGGGAAATTTTACAATGAAAGAGAGTAGAGAGAAGAAACCTGATAGAATCCAACAGAATTGAAACCGAGGCTCAAGTTGAGAAGGCCAATGGAAACGCCATTCAGAATGCCAAAAAGAGTGACCGTCTTCATGTCAATGGACTTGGCCTCAAAGAAACTGAGGCGTTGGGCAACATGAAGTGTGCAAAATGTAACCATCAGATGCCAGCTAGTTAGTGTTGTGGCTGTCCACAACCAAACAGGAAACAACAATGGTTAAGACCACCTAGGAGGACTCATGAATCTTATTGATGAGCCTTCGAGAAACAATCCCACAAAACATAACGCCTCACCATTTTAAAACTCTGGTGCATACAAATGTCAGACACCACACATATGATGGAGTCAAGTACTAGATATTAATTTTGGAGAACCTTTTTAGTTCAATCTTGTATTACTACATCTTTTCCTAACCTATCATGTAAATATATAAGCATGTGTAAGACAAGATAGGCTGTTTTACCGTGAGTCGCAAACTAATTATTAGATACTTAGAAATCAAAATCATAAATATATACATAATAAAGAAATTATTAAGTTTCGTGCAATGCAAGGAAAGACATATAGTGGACTGTTCTACAGAAACTGATTGGTAGATGCTCAGGGCTAAGAATTACCATCAATAATGAAATCCAACACACTTTCGATGATGCAAATCAACATTGCGAAGCGAAACAAACTCATGGATAAAGACAAACATGGATTATGAGGAAGTGATAAATGAAGATTACCAAAAGGGAAGCCTAGATTGCTCATCAATGCTTTGTTGCAGATGACTATAGACACAGAGGAGGCCACTGAGAGAAACAGTGCACCAGCAACCCCCAGTTGGAAGCTCGACATCTCTCCCGTATCTCTGCTGAAATTCATTTATGTATATATTAAATCAAATAATTTATCAACATCATTTTACACACTGAAGAGTAAGGACAGAGACAGGTTTTCATAAATTTTAGGGGAGTTGAAATTATGTAACACCTATGTAATGTAATTTTTAAAAAAATAGGGGGTTGCGGCCCCTGTTAGTCTTCCTCCCTCCGCCACTGCCGATGAGAGCAGGACTTTAGAAATGAGCTTTTCACATACCTCTGGAAAGCGTTTGACGGAGGGAGAGAAGGAGAAGAAAGCGTTGGGTTGGGCAAGGGAACGGAGCTTTTGCGGCCATTTTATTTTCGTTGGGATTTGGTTGGTGCCTAATGCCGTCTAGTTTGGCGGGAGTCTTGGAGTCGAAGTATAACTCAACCTCCACAGGCAGTTATCGGCCACTTGAAGCAATCCACAACCAAAATAAAAACCGTCCGGCGGTCACCCGTCACGTGACCTTATTTTCCTCATTCGAATTTTTTTATATTATTTTTGATTTTTGTATATGCGTGTTCGAAGATAATTTGTTCAACATCTGCGTAAAAATATCTTAGGTAATTTAGTTTTAGTAGAAATCTTGATAAACTGCTCTGGAAAGTGGAAATAGGCAGTCTTACTTTTTTTTTTTGAGTGCATAAGCAGTGTTACTTTCATCGAGGTGTTTATGAATATATATATATATATATATATTAAAATTTAAGTTTCTGAAATTTTTTTATTAAGTTTTATAATTAAATTATAAATGACAAGTAACATATAATTTTCAATAAAATATCGTATTCATGGACGTATAAAAGTAAATGATTTTTTTTTTTTCAGCTGAACTGCCAAATTCTTTATTTTGAAACGTAGTGAACTATTAATATAGGTACAGGCTATAAAGGTTAATTGATCAATTGCCAAAATTAAATTGTGAATTTGTTTTTACCTCCTAATTAAGTTTGACAATGCTGGAATCTTACTTAATTGGATACTAATTATATAAAAAAGGATTAAAATACTTAGAAATTCTTTTTAGGCACTTCTAGTATTTTTTTAGTTAACAATCATGCATGTATATCTATTAATTTAATTTTATAAAAGAGGATAATTTTCACCATTTGTTAAAATAACCCAATGTTGACCGTTAATGAAAAAATATTAACTTTTTGTAAAGTTAATAGATACCTAATTACTGTTAATTTAAAATATTATAACTCTTGGCTTCATTTTTGGGGAAATTTTTGCACCTCAACCTTTAAAAAGTAGGCAAGTTTTACTGTTGATCTTATAAATATAATGACTTCGTGCAGATGACTTGACACTGAACAAACCGTGCTCATAATTAATTTAAAAATTTAATATTTTTATTAGAAAAGAGAAGAAAGTAAATTGAGCAAAGCGGGACCAGCTGTATGGTTTAAATCAAAGAGAAGCAGGGCATGTGTTTGTGACACTTTAACTAATTTAAATTACCAAACACGTGTTTGAATAGTAAATACTAAATAAATTACCACCAAAAATTGTTTTAATTGATAAGAATTTGTTCTATAATTCACGAGATTGCAGGACCAAATTCAGACATTAATGTGAAGACTGAAAACCTTATTGTTAGATAATTTATAAATATTCTTATAAACATTCTGAATGTAGAGATATATCCTGACTTAGAACTAACTAATCTAAATTTTTTTGTAAAAAAAAAAAAAAAAGTAAACAGGCTCGTGACTGAGAAGCAGGAACCCAACATTTCTGTGTGCGCAAGTTATCTCCCAATTCAAGACCTTGCTCCATTTCAACCTTCATGGCTCATTCATAGACTTAAGTCCCTCTGCAAAATAACATTCCTGCCCCCGATCCTCTTCCCTCTCTCACTCCTTGAAATATCATTAAATGAGATGATCCACGCTTGCGAATCCAATTTTTTTTAAAAAATAAAATTTTAATTCTCTATATTTTGTTTTGATCCTTATATTTTTTTTCAGTATTTTTGATTCCTATACTCTTTGTTTTTTATTGCTTTAGGTTCTTCTATGAATAAAATATAAAGATTTTAGAGAAACTTAAAACAATAAAAATCAAAATATAAGGACCAAAACATTAAAAAAAATTACAGAAACCAATAACAAAATGAGAGCAAAGTATATGGATCTAAGTTATGCTCTCTCTCTCTGTTTTTTTTTTTTTTGATAGCTTACAAAGTTTTTCTTATAATAGCAATAAGCAAACATCATAATAAAACGAATATATTACAAATGTTTTGTTAACGACCCTGGTGAGAGACAAAAACTAGAAAAAAATGTAATCCTCCTGTAAAATGAAAACCTCAAAGGAACGTAAATGACTGAAGCACATGCAATAAAAAATTTATAAAACTAAAACAAGAAAAAATAATAATCCTCCTGTAAAATGTTTTGATATGTTTTAAAAAACTAAACCATATATAATTGTAAACTATAATATACCATATTATCAATAAGTCATGAAAAATACGACATACTCTTTAGAATTTCAATTTCATGAAATAAATGAGGCCCAATGTAGTTGAATAAAAAATTAATCAATTCCTGTAATAATCGTTTGTGTTGATTATCACACGTTAGACAGTTATATCATATTGCAAAGAATGTACCCACAACAGTTGGGCTAATTGAAAAAGATTTGATACCCCTTAAATAATGTTGTTGCTTAATTAGAAGAGTTAACCTAACAATACTCAAATATAATTTAGTAATAATGAATACTGAATAATTATGCTTAAAAAAAATTAAGAGAAGAGGTCATATGTAGGGTAAGGCATGATTTTCTTTTGTCTCCTTTCCTTTGCATAGCTATCCGACAAGGCATATATGTAAAAGAATGAAGAACTTGGACAAAAAAGAAGTGAATGACTACATGCTAGGAAAGGAAACAACGATTCTACTGATTGGCAAGCCATGTTTGGAGGGGGGTATAACCGTAGGGGACGCCAATATTAACCCCTTATTGTCATTCGTTCCAAAAACAACTTATCAGCATCAGTGAGGCGAGTCTGGAACAGAGCCCACTCGTTTCTGCATCTTTCTCTGACCTGAAAGGTTCGAGACCAAAAAATTTATAATACTTGTACTGTAGAACTAGGTTTTTTATCAATGGAATAAACGCAAATACTTCCTTCATTGTCAAGTCATTTATAAATTATAAACACTTTCCTCAATTTTGTAAATCGGAAAATATCGTACTCAACTATCATACTGCAAACCTAAACGTTGTGCCTATTTTCTCCTAATGCCTTTGGTGCAGATGCACTGATGCAGTATACACCAATTCATCGGAAAAAAAAGTAAAATACGAGCGACTTTGACATGGCATTCATTATTAAAAAAACACGGAAAAAGTGAACATAGAGATTTAAATCCTAAACTGTTATAGCTGAGGGAGTATTTTTGGTCTTCAAAGTCGAAGGAGATTTCGAATGACTTTAGCATTTGTTTCGCTTTTCTTCGGTGATGAAGGAGATTTCAAACCTTTGGAAAATGCTACGGCCAAAGGGAGTGATAAGAATGAAAAATTGGCATCAGACTCAACCAAATCCCTATATGTGCACGTGAGCAATAAGTTTGATAAGCTCCAACCCCGCAGAATGTTAAAAGTGTATTACAGTAGATAACGTATACATGAAGCTAAGCCACCTTCGTTGTCATGCGTATAAGAGCATAAGTAAAATTATTCTACGTGAAATACACTTACGGCATCCCCTTGTTGTTTTCTGTGATCATCAGCATCTCCCTGAAAATTATATAATACAACTCATGTAACATTGTGATTCATTTAAAATAATTTCACTCGCAACAGAAGCGACAGAAGCAAACAATTGACTGAGTTTTCAGGGGGGGAAATAGACTTAGGTGGCATTGCTAAATAGAAGAGAAAGAGATGCTTGTATAATAGGCACAGTAGGCGACCATGAAGCATCTGATTACCTGAATCCTATTTAATTTTCATTTGTTAATCACACTCATCCAGACACATGAATCGAGCATTCTAGGCAGTACAAATATAGAACTTAAGCAGTTTGAATTCCTCCTCAGGTAAGCTTATCTCAAGCACAAGTAAAGTGGAAAAGCACTCTCCAGAAATATGCGGTCTCAAGCCCAACTATCTCCTATAATTAGCTACGACTAACCTGGCTCCTGAGAGAAGGAACCCCTTGATGAACAATCCATTGTGAATCAACCACACCGATTTTTTCATGTGCTGGCTGTCAAAATGAAACAGAAAGGTATTAGGTTAAAATAAAGAGGATATTTTTCTTGTTTCAACTATGGATAAGATTTCTGTTAAAGCCAAAAGTTTCAGGAGAGACAAAAGAAATGATCCATATCCATAAACGCAAAAATGAAAGAATCTCTTTAAAGAAATAGAAAGCAGAATCTACTGACCTCTACACATCTTCTGAGAGCAAAATCCAGTCCCCATCCATGCACTAAGTCATTCTACAAGCATATGTTGGGAAGTTTGTCAAGATACTGAAAAGTTTGTTCATATCATGAAGTGACAAATTATGCATTCATTTAGTTTTGTTAAAACGACCAACACATGTGATACGAAATTTTTTTTTTTAAAAAAACCTGAATCATATGCCACACACATCGCCATGCTTCACGAGAAAAGACTGGAGCCATAATTTCACAAAGCTGAAAAAAACACCAGAAACAATAGAAGTAAAATAGAATGAATAGATAAAAGTGCCAGTAAAGAATATTGTTGCATATCAACGAGGAAGAGATAATCTACGCAGCACAAGGAGGCAAGTGTGGATCACTACACCAGCCTGGTTTCTCTTCCGTAAACCTATCCACCAATACATACATGAAATGTCACGAGAATACATGTGAAAACATAATAAGATTGACCCTAAGGCTATGGCCGGAGTTAGAAAGGGAGGATGAACAAAAATTACTTGTGAACTGATCTATCACCTCTCCTCTTTGTCATTTCCCATGTTGAATCACTATTTGAAGAGCGGAGATATCTCCAATCATGTTCTTGACCAACTCCATAAATCTGATAATAAAAAAACAGTTGATCAACCAAAAGTTGCATACAAAGAAGAGACTTGAGAAGAAAAGATAGGATGCAAACATATATGCATACTTGTCTCCATTGAAGTGTTGCACTCCAAGATCCTCATCCCATATAAAAATATATTCATAAGCTGATACAATATCAGGATGCAAAAACTCTTGGCATACCACCTGGATACCGTC